GGATTGTGTTTGTATTTTTTTACTGCCACAAATGTTCTCTCAAAGATGCTGCATAACACAGCCTCTGCTTTTAATAAGTTAAAAGACTGAGTGGAAATATATATATGTGTATGATATACATATCTATCTATATATTATCTATCAATACATATATATATAAAAGATTAGATATAAAATATCTATAGTTTAAGCTTCTTGAGGTTTGGAAACCAACCTAAATTGTTCAGGTTGCCCCCAAGGAGAGTTGATCATTTCTCTTATCACTCCATAGAGATTTCTCTTATTCTCTTATCTCCCCATAGAGATGAAAACAGCTCTATGTATATCATAATGGCTTTTTAAAAATGAATAATTCTTTATTTTGTCTTTTAGATTTGAACTGAGCATTAAAATCATCTGGGAGTCCTCTTTTCAAGTATATGCTCAGTTTCTCAGGAGATCTTAACCTGAGTCCCATAAATGGAATCTATAGACTCATAGATTTCCTGATTCACGAAAAGATCTATTCCCAGAGGCTGAAAAACACTGAGCTACACATAGATACCTAGACTGTGGGTCTCCTCTGCTCAGAGAAATGGTGGGGTGAGGAATCAGGAAGGCATGGGGGATGGGGTGGTAACTTGTGATGACAAAGGGTGGCCCTTTGGTATGGACGTGCCCACAGATGACCTTCTTTACTCATCAGAGTTCACCTACCTCTACTTAGCAGCCCAACTATGTCACAGCAGGCTTATGAGTGGGAGAGAAAAATCTGAGATTGGGTCTGAATTTAGGGAGAGACAACATCTTGCATGCTCTGAATGAGTAAGAAACTGAAAGGTATAGAGTTGCCCGGTCTTGACATTATGACTCCCCAGCATACCCCCAGAGAGAGCCCAAAGGCCTTCTAGGTTGTTCAGTCATGACACACCTGTTGGTCAAAACCAGGCCAGGACACAGGAGACATAGAAGCCCTCTTCCTGTCCGTGTCTTTCATTTGGCAATAATTACATACTGCGGCGTGACACCTCATATGCCAATGTCTTCTATTAGTATTAACTATTATTTTATTATTTCACCTTTGTGTGTATATACTAGGCTCAACCAGATTTAAGGGTGCTAGAAATCAAAAACTTTGTCAAATATTGACCATGGTGCTATACGCACAGTTGGTACTTAATCATTTTTTCAAATGAATAAATGACAAAGCATGAAATAAGTAAGATGCTGTATCTGGCACTTGCTCCAATGTAAAGAGCTGAAGTAAGGCCTGTCTCTTAAGAGCAGGTTATTTTGAAACTTCCTTTAATATCAATGAAAGCTTTATCAGTTCTATAATTCTGTGACCATGCATTGAGAATTTTATATGATGGTAACGTATCTACACCATCCTTAATACTTTATAAAGTGCTTGCACACACGTTCTCAATAACTGTGTACTATTTTAAAGCATAGAGGGGCTCTGAGGGGGTTCTCTGATCTATTTCACTCTCCCCAATGGCTACCTGAACAATTTAAGTTGGTTTCCAGAGAAGTAAGTTCCCTAGCTCCCTTCAGGTTATGATCTGATGGTTTCCTCAGTTACTGAGTCCTCTTCCTGCTATTTAAGTCTGTGTGCTCTCATTCTATCTTTAGTAGTCATTTAGATAAGACCTGGGGAGTTAATGTTTTCCTGGCAAAACCTGGAAGAACACTTTGCTGTTCTTCTCCTTCTTTCATGAAGACTTGAGAATGCTTAGCAATGAAAGAGGCAGGTTGATCTACTTTAAATAAGGCAGCCTGGCTCTAATGGGAGTTCTTAGGGCACCAGCCAGTGGCAGCCTGTCAATGGTGAATGCAAATATCTCACTGATGTTACTGTTTGGTTTGAATGAAAAGCACCAGTAGAAAAATGTCCATTAGAGATGACAGTCAACTTTGAATGGCCTTACTTCAATAATGAGTCTCCAATGAGCTAGAAGGATCGGGCTGGGAGGATTCCAAAGACCTGATGAATCATTAAGGGTTTAGAACCACACTGTGGCAAAGGGGAGAGTGTTATTTCTTAATTTGACAAATACTACTCATTAAACCCAGGGCAGCATCACAAATGGCAATGGGAAAAATATTCCAAAGCTAAGGCTAGAATAGCAAACATAAGTACTGTTGTGGAATGAAAGAATCTTTCAGGAAAGCATGCAACTGGTTATGTACAGCAATAATCCTTATACTGTGGAAGAGAAAGGGGGGTGATGCCCTTTAGATCAGGGCCAGCCACATATGGAGGCAACTAGTATGAAGTGTCCAGGCTGACCCCCCACCATCACTCTGACTGTCACAATGGTGGTTTCCAGGTACTCACTCCTTTGGATTGTCATGGAAGGACACTGTTAGCACATAGAGTTGACAAACTGACCCAGTAATAGTTATTTCCATATTCGTTCATACTGGTATCTGAGAAATTAGCAGAGAGCGTTCCTCGAGGCAATTGATCAGGGGGATTCAATAGTAAGGAAAAAAAAAGTCCAGACTAAGGAACATGATCTGAGAAAGAGGCATGAGATGCAGTCTTGAAGATCTTGGGTTTGGAGCAGAACAAAAGGAAGCATGGAAGTTTGGAGGTGACCACATTAGGGATACCCAGTGCTGGTTTTGCTGATGCCAACATTTTTCCATAATGGCTCTGTTAGGAGTTTCTCCAGTTAAATGAACAGAAAACAAAAGAGTCTGTGTCTGACCCAAGGCAGGTTCCTTCCCCCTCTCCTCTCTTTGTCACCAATATCACTCCTCTGTGGACTCTGGCCCTTTCTCTCTAAAGCTCTCTAAGGTTAAGCCTAATTGATTGACCATAGGACAAGGAACAGGGTCAACAGAAACTCCCACTGTAAAGGCACAAAATAACCTTAAGACCCCTGTTGTACAATATCTGCCTTAATTAGTTTATGGATATGTTGTACATTATCCAATTATCTGCTTCCAAAATTACCAAAAGTCCATATGGCTGTCTAGCAAGGTCACAAATGCCAGGCATTGCCATTACAAGTGTTTGGAAGAAATCCAACTTCATGTCTATGTGGAAAATGGAACCCCAAAGAGGTAGCAAACTTGTAATGGTTATAAGAAGACTTCTACATAAGCTCACAAAGCCATGAAAAAGGTGTTCGATATATGTGTTTGGCTCCAAATTAAAGACACTTCCTACACTCTGCCTTTTCATTTTAGTAACATCTAGCTCAGTCACTTGTCCAAAATCACTTCATTTTCTTAAGTCAAGTTTTGGCTTATTACCATACAGATGGGGATTCTGGATTTCTTTTTTTTTAAGTGAGAATTCTCAGTTTGCTATGTTAATCAAGCAGAGTGACATCCTTTTTGATTGCCTGGTGAATTATGAAACCAGATCGAATCACAAATTTTGCACTTATTGTAACAAAAAGCAAGGAAGAGTGAGTTAGTCTTAAATCCAGCTGCCCCATTTATGAGCTTGGTAGCCCCTAGGCAAATTGCTTAACCTCTCTGAAACTTTTATTTTTTTCTAATTTATAAAAATCAGGATATGGTTGTCATCTAAGGAAAGTTATGTGAATTAAATGAGCTCCTGTTTGAAGAACAGGCTTAGCACAGTATACAGTGCCATTAAAAAGCAGGAATATTTCCTACATGTGTGTCTCAGATTAATGTTAATGGGAATTTGGGAAGGTGAGGAGGTGGTTTGACAAAAAGAAAGTGGTGGGAGGGATTCCTAAGAGGTGGGACTTATTTAATATATAGTTTTTGGTCCTGAACTCTGAATTAGATCAGAAATTGTGTATCTTTGTCAATTAATAATCACTATCTCACTGAGTACATATTTAAAGTGAAAGTACATTTTTCTGGGGGCAGGGCACATGAAGGGGCAGAGTTAATGGAGTTGCTTTTCCCAAGTGGTAATCATGTGAGTTTTAAGACAACTGGAAGGGTTAGGGGTGGAAGAAAGTCTGTGAACTTGAAGAACCTTCATATTCTCCCTTGAGGTGTCCCCTGTTGTTTTTTTTTTTAATGTCATTTACTTTGCAGAATCTGAGACCTCCTTCCTAACTCCTCACTAATGTGGAAATGCATTTGTAAATATTGAGAAGCTGAGCTAGGACTCTGAATATGTCCTGCATACATGCAGTGCCAATGACTCAGACCTCCTCTTTCATCCAAGACGGAGACAACCATGTACGAGCACGGCTTGTCCAGCTCACTGGTCCTGGCATTCAGATACCAGTGACCTGAATCTCTCAGAATAGGTTCTATTTACTATTCAGACCCTCAAAAATAAATGCATGAGTAAAAAACCAAATGGGGATAACTCCAAAGAGACAAGTAAAGAATAAGTGCATTTGCCACGAATGGTCCTAATCAAGTGTTAGATAACGAGCTGCTGATGAGCTGGGAGATGTTCTTTGGGTGTTGGGTGGATTTTTCGTAAAGGTGGCTTGACTTCTTTCCTAGATCAGAATTTCATTACATGTTATTCACTGAAGTCACTTCTCTTTCAGGACTGCGGCTGCCAAGAAGTTGCCTGCCCTTACGGTTGGGTGTCTTTTCAATGACTTCAGAGGCAACTTGCAAACAGTGTTGCCTGGACATCCCCTCTGCTTGCAGTGACTCCAATTACAGTAGCTGTTTTTGCTCATTTTGTATCCTCACTGTGCTCTCTATTTATTTCCTTAGAGAGACCACGAGCCAGTGTCCGTGAGCGGGGGGAGGGACAGAGGTAGAGGAAGAGGGAGACTCTCAAGCAGACACCCTGCTGAGCATGGAGCCCAACACAGGGCTCCATCTCACAACGCTTACGATCACGACCTGAGTGGAAATCAAGAGTCGGATGCTCACCTTGCTGAGTCACCCAGGTGCCCCCTCACAGTGCTCTTTAAATAAATAGTGATGGGATGGAGAAGGCGTGAATAGGATGATGGGGACTGAGACATTTGGAAACATAAATAAGGCACTTTGGAGTTCTTGGTACAGAGCCTGATGCCTTTCCATAGTCACTGAATTTGCCCTTTACTCACCATTGCATGATTCAACCATACTGGAAAGATACCATCTAGGGCCTTAGGGTAAACGAGCTCTCGATCATAGAGAAAGAGGATCCAGAATGACAAAAACACAAACTGGAAAATAAAATACAAAAATAGCATCATTAAGTCTGTTTTCCATCAGAGCTTTCTAAGTTAACCAAGGAAACATGGAGAAATAAAAATAGAGACCAGTTTTAAAGATATTCTATAGACAGGTTATAGAAATGTAAAATGAAGACAAACTTCCTGACTGTTGAATTGCTATGTCCACTCTCTGGGGATTCCAGAGAATTGGGGATCAATTATTCATCCTCATGGCAATCAGGGAGGGTATAGATAAACAGGATTCACAGACCATTAAGTCATTTTATTTTAACCAATGACCTCTCTAGTCTAAGCTTTCACTGGGATACTGAGACCAGCCACATGGGGTGGTTTGAGTCTTACACTTCCCTTGCCCACCCTCTGAGTAGGCATAGCAAGGAGACGCAGGGACACTGGGAGAGGGCAGAAGTGACAAGCGCCCAGGATAATTCACAAGCTAGTTAATGGGAGTTGCATCTCCCCCTTGCTCAGAGCTTTGGAACGATGCTCATCCTCTCATGCCCCTTGGCTGTCTTATCAAAGTGTCTGTCCTCTGTGTTACAAAGTCAATGCAGAGATGGGGGAAAAAATAACCATTAATTTTCCAATCTTCCTATCTTCTTAAATTCCAAAGACTCCATTTCTAAGCCTTAAAAAAAAGAATAAACTCCATTGCTACTAAAAACCTGGTATTTAGATGTATGGGAGTGAAGGAGGAGGTATCCTGCGAAGTAAAACTGGAATGCCAGGACTTGCTCTGTTATCTGAGAACTCGTCAGTGTTTGGGCAGTTTCATTTTGCTTTTAAGTCTGAAGTCTCAATACTGTAGGATGCAGGACAACGGCAGGCAGAGGGAGGCAGTCATTTCTAAGCATAGGCCCTGCTGGGCAGCCAGCAGGCTTGATCTCAGTTTGTTTCCATTCTAACCAATGAATGAAAACAGAAGTAGTGTCATCGAAACGTGGGCAGTATCAGCAAATACGCTCACTGTTGCTGGCATATGTCGGGCCCCTTTCCAGTGTCCATTCATTCAGCAAAATGAATGAGGTACTCACTGTGCACCCCACACTAGATTATTTTGGACAGACTGTCTTGCTCTCTCCCCAATTGTCTTTTCCACGAGCCAACTCTGAAGTTCTCATACCCTCTCCCCACCCCTTTTTCTATGGTTTCCACTTGCAGAAGTAACATATGCTCATTATAGCAAGTGAAACAAGATGTATAAAAGGGAAAATGAGTCATCTGTCTCCCCAGCACCCTGCATTCCCAGGATTCTGGTGGAGCCAAAGCTATCTTAGTTGTAGTTTGATTAAGAAAGATCCTTCAGACTTCCCCATTAGACATCCACAAGGATCTTGAATCAAACTTTTACAAAGATAAGAAGGCAGTGATAATTCTGGTCAGTAATGAGCCTTCTTTCCTGATGACACTGGGCAACACAGCACAGTCCTCAGACAAGACATTCATGCAAATGCACTTGCTCTGGTTCACAATAACAGGCACCTGAACAGCCTTGCTGCCCAGGAGAGATGTTGTTCATCCAAATGGACATGTGTATTATATCACTAACACATCTTTGTGACTTACTGTGGAAATCGGGAAAGCCAGCGTGGTAAAAAGCAGGTCTCTGAAGGCGGTCATGAACTTAATCTCTTTTTCCCCCTTGATTCTTTTTAGCACATCTTCCATGCAGGCGACCCCGTAGAAAATGGCCTGCAAGAGCTAAATTCATTACAACAAATGAGGGCATTTTCATTTGCTTTAATTAATACATTCTTCACTGACGTAAAGCTCCATCCCTCTGGGAGCAATGTTGATTTGAGAAGGAGGGGGCTGTTGGCTGTGTTGGTTGAGAGCCAATTCAAGGGCTGGTCTTCCAGCTCAGTGGGCCCTGACCTTGCTCGCTAAAACTGATTGAGTAAAGTCGTTTAGGGGATAATAATGTGTACAGTATTTAGTGTAATGGACTTGAGCTAAAATGGAAACAAAATAAAGAGTCAGCTTAAAAGGAGAATGTAATGAGAGATACCTTAGCTGCACGGAGGTAGGCAAAACCAAATAAACAGCACAAGGGCAAAGAGCCAGACACAATGGTGGACATATTCTGGCTTCTTCCCAGGAAGAAAAAAAAATGTTAAATGCCCAGTGCTGCAATCTCATTAAAGAAGCTGGAATCAGGGTCAAGAGCGCCACAAAGGAGCTCCGTGCTCTCCTGAGGGAGAGTCACAAAATGGAGTCTTGCTTATCTGAGAGAGAAGCCGATGTCCTTCTCTGATTGATAGGGGGTGCCTGAAGGCCTTACAAAGAAAATCTGGCCAAAGGAGTGATTTAAATCCACAGGGATAGAGCAGGCCAGGGGCTCTGGTGCATCACTAAGTACCATGAGGTCCTGGAGGCGGGGTCAAAGAGAAGTAGGGCTCTTTTCAGCGAAGTAAGACCAGCTAAGGGCAAACTTTGCCCATTCTTACTGTTTTGCACAAATCGGTGGCTTTGGATTGAAGACCTCATGGGTCACAATACAGAGTTATGGCTGGTTTTGGTTGTACTTGCACTAGATCCCATCCTATTCTGTGAAAGCTCTGGGTACGAAAGGGGCAATCAGGACTCTGCTCTGAGAGTATGAGTCAGGCAAGGTCTGGAACCTAGGGCATTGCTCTCAGGGTGGATGAGGTTGGCTGTTGGGGAATGACCGCTAAGGTCTGAATTCTAGGAAAAAGAAGTTCTAGCAGAGCTGGCCTCCTCCCATTCTTTAGCTTGAAGGGGTGGGTGAGGGAGGATCCAGAGGTGAATTGGGCCAGCCATATACCCAGCTGGGTCCTCAGACCAGCAGCACTGGTGTCACCCAAAAGCTTGTGAGAAATGCAGGACCTCAGCCGCACCCCAGACTGTGGAATCAGAATCTCTGGGAGTGGGGTCCAGCAACTTGTTAACAAACTCCCCAGGTGATCCTTACATATGCTAAATTTCTGGAAATGCTCACTGGATTAGATGTAAAAAATTCCTATTGACTACTCAAAGCCATAATAACAGACTTTCATTGATTTCTTGTTATGTGCCAGGCTCTGATCTAGGTTTTTTAATTTCTCATAACCACCTTATGAGGTAAGTCTTATTATTATGCTCTCTCCCAACCCATTTTACATGTAAGGAAACTGAGGCATAGAGACATAAACAAACTTCCCTTAAGTCTCATGGTGGGTAAATGGGGATTCAAAACCCAGAGTCTGGTTCTTGAATCAGACTTAAAAAAAAAAAAAAAGGTTTTTTTTTTTTTTTTTTTTAATCATTTATTTGACAAAGAGAGAGTATAAGCAGGGGGAGCAGAAGAGGGAGAGGGAGAAGCAGACTCCCCGCTGAGCAGAGAGCTCGACACCAGGCTTGATCCCAGGACCCCAGGACCATGACCTGAGCCAAAGGCAGACGCCCAATCAACTGAGCCATGCAGGCACCCAAAAGTCAGGATTCTAAGAACAGTTTAGGTAAAACACTGTGGGAGATTGGAAGAAAGGCAACTCTCTCCTGGTGGGAGAATTAAAAATGACTGTGAAAAATACTGATGCCTGATTTTCAATCTATCCCCCCAGAGATTCTAATTTCCTAAGAGGTGTGGCCTGGACTTCAGGATTTCTAAAAATTCTCCCAAGTGATTCTAACTGGGACCGCTAAGGTTGAGAACCAACTGCGTAGAGGAACTTCTGTTTGGACATTTGGATCTGGCCTTCCCAAGAGAAGTGGGACAGTGAAGATCCGGGGACTAAACCCTCCTGGTGGGATGAGCTTGGAGAAAGAGAGAGAGAGAGAAGGGGAAAGTGAATGCAGGGGCAACGCCCTCATCCACAGGGCATGAGGGGCAAGGGGACAGCAAAGTAGCAAAGAATGATCAGATGGTAGAAAACCGAGAAGGTACAAGAGTCCCATGGTCCCTGAAGGGAGGAGGAAGTTTTGAGCCAGAAGGGTGGTTCCAGAGAGGGGTGGGCAACAGTTTTACATGTCACAAAGAGGTGGCCACCCCAATACTCATCATCCACTTTTGACATTCAGCCCTCGGGCTATAGAATTTGGAGCAGTCTTTTGCACATGGATGTTAGAGGAAGTCACCTCCTCCTCCACTCTTTCCACTCCCCCAGAGCAGCTCTCACCTCATCCCTGGTTTCACTTCCAGTGGTTCAGGCCACAGCAGGCAGCTGTTTTAGTTAGGAAGGCGGGCATGGGGCCTGGGCCCTGGCGAGGAGGCCCGCGCTCCTCTATCAACAGAGCAATTAATCACGTACTGAGCACTGAGCGTCTGCCAGGTTTTCTGTCTTTGGGGAGAGGCTACCTCCACCCAACATGTGAAGTCCGTGTGACCACTTTCCTTAGCAAGAGCTTCCTAGTCACCATGAGTCAAGCTCGTCCTAACTTTCTCTGGCTCTTCCCAAAAATGTGGAAATTGGATTGGGAGGAAAGAACACATGACTCAGAGCCTCCCTGGCTTCTCCTTCATCAATAAAACTTTTCTCCACACTGCAAACTTGCCAATCACCTCTCCATCTCTCCCCACACACACCCCCACCCCCACCCCCACCCCTGCTCACATGTATATGCCCACTGTGTACGTGGAGCAGCCTTGTCCCCACCGATCTCAATCTGCATTGACATGCCATCATCTGTATCAACAAGGAATATTTGTGGAGCCCTCACAAAGGAACTCAGGATGGAGGTGCTAGGGTGTTGCCAAGAGAAATAAATAAGCCAGAACTAGGGCAGAGAGGAGCCAAGCATCAGAGCTGGAGGGCAAAGAGAAGGAGGTGCCATGATCTCCTTCAGTGGGGAGGTTTCTTGGAGGGCTTTGAGGACAGGTTGGTACCAACTCACCCAGTGCGACAAGGGTCTGCTCATCCCCTAATAACAATACAATGAAGTGTTTGTAAAACAAGCACAGAAAGAACAGTCAAGGGAGAAAATGGTAGCTATCAGGGACTGAACTGTGTCCCCTCAAAATTCTTATGTCGAAGTTATAACCTTCGGTGGTTGTATGTGGAAATAGGGTCTTTAAAGAAGTAAATGCACGAAAACAAGGTCAGTCAGCGTGGGTCCTGACCCAGTATGACTGGTGTCTTTCTAAGAAGAGGAGACTAGGATGCAGACCACATGCACCATGAGGCAGGACCACGTGAAGACACGGGGAGAAGAAAGTGGCCATCTGCAGGCCGAGGACGGGGCTTCAGGGGAAACCTACCCTGCAGATGTCTTGATCTTGGACTTTCAGCCTCTGGAACTGTGAGAAAATTAATTTCTGTTGTTTAAGTCACCCGGGCTGTGGTACTTTGTTGTGGCAGTCTGAGAAGACCAACACAGTAGCGATGAAACAAGATGGCAACAACCAGCCTCCTTTGAAGAATATCACAACAAAATGACTGTCATTTCCATTTCTCAACTATGTGGGCTACCCAAGAAAGCAGAGCTGATGGTATCTCGATCAGGGTTTATTTCAAGCTACAGCTCTGTGATTTATCTCTTCTACCAATTCTTTTCTAAGTCTGTTTGTTCCTTGTGCCTTTTTCTGAAATGTTGCTGGTCTAAGTTTGTTAGCTGGCTTCCGTTTTTGCTGCTCGCTAAAAAATTTACCACCTGGGAAGGCTGAATTACATTTTTTATAAGTAGTGCAATTTAAGAAACCATAGCTAAAGGAAATTTTGTTTTTACATTCACGTGTCTTCACAAGATTCACAAAAATCTTGAAATGATGGAAACTTCGCCTTTCTAAGTCATCAAGTTAATTTCTTTGCCTTTAAGCCAGAACCTTCTTCAACTATCTCAGGAAATGAGAATTTCTTCTATTTAAAAAATAATTCCAGAGAGGGAGATTCCACAAGTTTCCTGAACAAGACATTACAAATCTTATTGGATGAGTCAAGTCATCCAACGCCCAGCCCAGCTCTGTGCCTGACTTGAACAGGCTGGGACTTTCTTAGGTCTTGTCTTTGAAATGACGCAAGACTTGCAGTAGGAGACTATTCCAGAATAAAAGAGCAAATGGGGACTAATTGTGGTGAGTATTTTCTATAACTGTGGCAGTGAGGGTAGTTTGGGGGCAGGTAGAGGAAGCCTTTGCTAAAAGAGATCTGCACTATATATGTAATAGACTGTTTCAAGCATCATTCATGTGCATTTAGCTTAAGTAAAAAACTGAGATAAAAAGCAGAGAAGAAATGATATGAAGAATACAGGCTGGCATGAAGAGGAGGGGGGAAAAAAAGAGAAGAAACCAAGAGAACACTGAAGGACAGGTTGGAAGAAGAATTCTAAGAATGTTCGGCCAGGGTTGCATAGCGGCTGACCACTGGCTTCAGAGTAACAGCAGGATGGGTAGGCTGTGGGTAGGCTCCCTTACAGGTGGGGTGGGGTTCCCTAGAAAATGACTCTGACCAGGTAGACCCAGGTTCTGGTCATTTATTCATGCAACCAACATTCACAGAGTGCCTGTTAGGTGCCAGAAACTCAGACATGTATTAGACATAGTACAGGCTAGGGCGGGCTCTGTGCTCATACGTGTTTTATTAGGAAGAAGAGAGTTCTCCTCTCCAGGAGGAGGAACCCTTTCTGTATGTTTACTATTTTACATCATGTAGGTCAGGTTCCTTGGGAAACAGAAGCAGATTCTTAGATCTGCTTGCAAAGTGTTCATTGAGGAGTGCTCTCGAAACAGCTATGAGAGGGAGGGAAGGGGACGGGGGGGGGGG